AGGTATTAAATTGTTTCTCCTACAGACTACTAAATCATGTTAAAAGCATGTCTTGCTTCTTAATCTTTTATCCTCTTAATTACTTGACACGAGGGAAACACTCCTGGAAGCTTCATCTAAAAAGCACAGGCCAACAGGGTAAGTCACAGAATCACACAATCTCATTACTAAAGTTATCATTGGCTGGGGAGAAAAACCTACATTAAAAACAGAATGTAACCAAAGGAAAACCAGGCATAATACAAAATATGAATCAGAAGCTAAGAATGGCAAAATACTCAGAAGATAAGCAAAAAGTATTTAGAATGGCTATTTACTCATGTGAATAGCATGAAGGAGCACATATTTCAGAGAAAACAGGATGTTCAGATAAATTTCTGTTCTACATTTGTGGAGAAAAACAACATATATCAGAAAAGTCTAACAATAGCCATGGAAAGCCTTAAACATAGGAATAGAAGTAAGGCGGTTTTTAAATCAGCAGCTCTATATAGCTTCCATCCAAGAATTTTAAGAGCTGGCAAAGGAGACTTGTGTGCTGTTAATGTGGATTTTCCATAAGCTCTGAGAAATCTGGGGAAGCTCAGGAAAAAAGAAAAATCTCAAAGCAAGCTGAGGTTGTGCCAATACTAGAAAAATAAGTAAGAAAGGAACAAATTCAGGAACTTACGGTCAACCTCGCCTTAATTCCGGAAAAAAAACTCCAAACAATAAACCATCTTCTTGATCCGGGAACAAGAAATAAATGAGCAAATTTTACTTAAATTACACAGCTTAAATGTATGGAAAATGTATCTTTTTGGAATGACTTTTCTGTCCTCATGCAATTACAGCATACATTTGGTAAATAACAGAAAAGTGTTGATGTAACACATTTGCACGTTGACTTGTTCAGTAGAACACAGGGAAACTGGCAGAGTTGTGGACATACAGCTTGTAGTAAGCAAATTAAAACTAAAGTTGCAGGTCTGTGTCACCAATGAGGACACAGTCAGACATATTTCTAATTGAATCCCACAGGAATTAGTTCTTGGCAGCAACCTACTCAGTATTTTATCTCGAAATAAAGTTTACTAAGAACATTCATAAAAGCTCCAAGTAAATAGTGTAGCAAGACTGCTGGTTGGGAACCATCTGGATTGCTGGAAAATTGTTTCAGCATGATCAGTGTGAGGTCATGTATTTAAGAGTGATGGATATAAAACACTTATAGATGGAAAACTTCCTCAGGAAGTAGTTGGAATAGCTGGTAACAGAGTAAACATGGGTTCCTTATGCATGAGTTCAAAAATAGTATATACATTATTGTTAAATGGCTCAGAAAACAAACCACCAGAACCAAATGCTGTTTTCATTGCAGGGAGGAAGAGACCAAAGAAACGTGACTATCATCAAAACATTTTTCAAGTACTGATCTCCATTGGCAAAATACATCACTCCATTTCAGGAAGCAGCAACAGGATGACAACTTCTGTATCTATGTTTATTGGAACTGCTTTATCAGAACATAGCCTCTAGTCCTTTCAAAGAAGCTATTAGTTAACTGAAGATTTCAAAAAGCAAGTACAAACAATCCAAGTGCAAACAAGCCTAAAAACTGAGCATCAAAATGGAATAGCTGGCATATAAAAGTTAATTCCATCACCTGAGGTTTAAGGACAATATGAAGACCTATAATGTATTTGCTACGAGGAAAAATATATATTAAGAATAGTGTGATCACTGAAAGTAAGCTCATATTAAAACACCAAGCAAGTTTCTTTGAATAACTCTAGTAATCACTGAGCTTCCAGAGGTGGCAGTAGTTTTGCTTACATTATCCATGTCTATGATTCCTGGACTAAATCCCAAACTAGAATTAAAATATTAATTTTAAAAGATAATCACAGTGACCTTACTATAGGCCATAATTTTACAATATCTGTTTCTCCAGTTCACCAGTGATGTAACTAGAAAGAGACATATTATCAGCAAAACACTTGGTTTGGGACTGACAGTTACCACTGTCCAGGCCAAATCAGTGACTCTGCTCAGTAAAAAAACATCCCTCCAACACCCAATCTCAAAAAATAATGGAACTTTCATAAGTAAATTCATTTAAGTCCTTAAACGTAAGCATGAATGAAACCATCACTTTTACTTAAAGCTTCTGCTCTCACAGCACCACTTTACCGAGTCACTGAATCATAGAATCAACTGGGTTGGAAAACACCTCCAAGATCACTGACTCCAACCTATGACCGAACACCATCATGTCAATTAGACCATGGCACTGAGTGCCACGTCCAGTCTCTTCTTAAATACCTCCAGGGACGGTGATTCTACCACCTCCCAGGGCAGTCCATTCCAATGTCTAGTCATCCTTTCTATGAAGAAATTCCTGATGTCTAACCTAAACCTCCCCTGGCGCTGCTTAAGACTGTGTCCTCTCGTGCTGTCGCTTTCAGTAACGAACGAAAAATAACAAGACCCAAAGGCTCAGACGGGAGCGTGCTCGCTATCCCCGGAAGCGATAAGGCCTCGCTTGTGCGTCAACTCCCGGTGCTCCCCCCAGCAGAGCGCCGAGATCCACTGTAAAAGGCAGGAGCGCAAGATGCTCACGGGGCCCGAGCGGGGAGGGCGCTGTGCCCCGCTGGGCGCGGCCGAGCCCAGTGTGGGGGGCACTGCAGCCGCCGGGCCCCTCTCCCTCTCGACGCGCCATCAGCCGAGCCCACGGGGCGACCATCGGCGCAGGAAGCCGAGCCACCCCGCTCTCCCCGCCCCGGCGCTTCCGTGCCCGGCGGGCGGGTGAAAGGTCCCGCGGCGCCCGGATGGAGGCGGTGCCGCTCCGCTATATAAGCGCCCGCCGCCGCCGCGCCCGCCTCTCCCCGCGCCGCCCGCCGCCGCCTCCTGGCTCACCGCTGTTCGCTGGGCCCCGCGCCGCCCCGCGCCCGGGAATAAGTCGGTCAGGAAGGCTCCGCTGCCGCCATGGTGAGGCGGAGGAGCGTCGGGGACAGGGGGAAGGAGGAGGAGAGGAAGAGGGGCCGCCGCTCCGGCAGCGCCGCGTGGCCGCCGCGCCCGCCCGGGCCGGGCCGGCCCTCGGCCCGGGGAAAGAGCTGCGCGGCGCTGCGCCTGAAGGGCCCCGGCTGCTGGGGCGGCTCCCGGAGCCCACCCCAGGCCGGCGTGCAGGGAGGGCGGCCTGAGAGCCCGAGAGTGCCTTTCGCTTCGGGAGCTGCCACGTGAACTCCCGTCGGGAGCGGCGCCCCGGGGAGGCGGCGGGAGCGGAGCTGACACGGCCTCGTGTCTGTGGCCTCGGAGTCAGCTCATGTTGAGGGGGTGTGCGTCTGTAATGCGGCAGGTCGTGCCTCTTCATCGGTGTGTGACATCCATATTTCAGACTCGGTCAGATTGGAAGGGACCACAGTGGGACATCAGGTCCAACCTTTCTGCTTAAGCAGAGTCGTCCTAGAGCACGTCCTAGAGCAGGGTCGTCCTAGAGCAGGTTTGCATCCTGACGGTTGTTGAGTGTCTCCAGCGAGGGAGTCTCCACAACCTCTCTGGGCAGTGTACGGTCACCCGCACAGTAAAGAAGTTTCTTCCTCATATTCAGGTGGAACTTCCTGTGCATCAGTTTCTGCCCGTTGTCTCTTGTCTTATTGGTTGGCACCACCGGGAAGAGCCTGACTCCATCCTCTGGGCAACCCCTCCTTTAGCTATTCATATATATAGTTTTACATATATATATTTATATATCATCCATGTTTTTTCAAGATCTTTCTTTCTCCGTATTTTTATTTCTGTTTTCATCAGCTCACTTAGCCTGCATTAATGCCCAATTATTTGCAAGCACTTAATTGCATAAGCTTCTCAAATCAGTTTCCTGAGTGGCTGAATTAGTTTTTCTGGCCAGGTGCCCATTTTTGTTCTTGCAGTGTGAGTTGCAGTTTTGTTGATCAAGTCTTTTCTACTTAATTCGTGGTGAGGTTAAATGGTAAGATACACGGAGCCTCAAATGTATTTTTGAGGACAAGGAGTGTTTGTGCTAGCTGTATATAGGCAAACCAGGGAGGGATTTGCTTGCAGCTTCCCACCGTGAGATGCAGTTAGTCACTAAAAACTGGCTTTTCCTTAGAGTTACAACTTTGCTCTTTCGTTCTCTTCCCACCACCATTCTTCTTCCGTGCCACCTTACCCTTCAGATATCTCTTCTACTGAGTTGAACAATGTAGTCCCATAGCAAAATTGTTCTTTACACTCTTGAAGTCTGTTTTTAAGAGGCTGTAGATAGTGCTGGTGTTCACTGTAGTGTCTGATATTTGTAACTTCAATGTTTTAGGCGTTTAAAGATACTGGCAAAGCACCTGTGGAACAAGAGGTAGCGATTCATCGTATTAGAATTACTTTGACAAGTCGCAATGTAAAATCACTGGAGAAGGGTGAGTAGTACTTTTTTTGTTTACTTGGGTAGCTTGTCAAGTAATGAATATGTCACGTAACGCATTGCAAAATAAATGTATTGAAAACAGTTGTAATTAAAGAGGTTAGCGTTTGCCTGCTTGGCTCACTGAGTCAACCCAAAGCGCTTCATACACTAACAAGTAAATTCTGATTTAATTCTTAATGAAAGCTAGTGTTTTGGGGGGGTTTATCCTGCTGAAGACTTATGTCATCATGACGAATGTAAGAGAGTGCAGCTTCTTCGCTTTAGTTCTCATGGGGGATTTTCAAATAGTTGTTATTCTTTGAATTTATAAGAACCGAAAGGCACCAGTTTCTCGATATTTTGTCACTCATGTTATGGAGAGTTTAGCATAACATTCTTTTAAGAAATTATTTATTCTTGTTTAGGAACTGGCTTTGCCAGTGTTTAATCATATAATGTAAATGTTGTAGAATCACTGTTAGCAGGATCTTCAGGCTGATAACAGCTTAAATACAGTTTAAACTTGTAGTAATGGCTTTTGCCTACTGCTGTAACCTGATTTTGCTCACCCAGGCATAACACTTCCACTTGTATGTATTGGCTATGAGGATAATGCTTAAAATGAATGGCAGTGATCACTTAATACGCTATTCTGAGCCAACATCTCGTTTGAAATACTCACTTAAGGAAACAAGCAAGTAAAATAGTCACAAACCTGAGCTATTTTGTCTTTTTCCAGTCTGTGCTGACTTGATCAGAGGTGCTAAGGAAAAGAACCTTAAGGTGAAGGGACCTGTTCGCATGCCCACCAAGGTACTTAACATTTTTCTTGTCTTAAAAGTTGGTTTTTTTCCTGCAACTATGCAGAAACATCTTTTTCAAAAAAAAAAAAAAAGGTGAGATGAAAAGCAGTACTACTACACTGAGTGTTGACCCAGTGTGAACAGATAGCGATTTCACAAGTTGCTTTGATGCTTAAGGGTAACTGTTTAGTGCAAAACATGTTTAATGTGGAAGGGGCTTTTCTGTTCAATTTATTTTCATCATGAATGGGGTTTTTAAATGAAATTATATATGTGGGGAAGGAGTGCTAACATCAGTTAACTCTAACTTGAGGTAACTTTCTAAAGTCATAGATACCGTACAGTATTTTTAGATGATTTAGGTGATTGTATTTTATGTGATTCTAGATTACTCCTCTCTCTGCATCAGCTAAATACCTCATGTTTGACTTTTCAGACCCTGCGGATCACTACCAGGAAGACACCTTGTGGTGAAGGTTCCAAGACCTGGGATCGTTTCCAAATGCGTATCCATAAGCGGCTCATTGATTTACACAGCCCTTCTGAGATCGTGAAGCAGATCACTTCCATCAGCATTGAACCAGGTGTAGAAGTTGAAGTTACTATCGCCGATGCCTAGATGATCATCGTTGTTGAATAAAGTTGATTTACAAATTTTCATCAGTGTTTGTTTTCATATGTGTGTAGAAAAGTAGCTCTGTGATTTTCATGAAGGACAACAGAGATCATAATCAAAATGCTGTGTGATATTTAAAGAACAATATGGTATCTGTAAACATCAGGAAAATGAAACGTGGGCATCGTGGTTTCATGGAGGTTGGTGACTGTATGGTCATGCAGCACTTATTAAAAATATATTTTTCATGAAGGGTTTAACTTTGGCTGAAATCTTAGTCTATACCCAAACAAGCAGTAGCATTAAAATTGATGTTTAGGTAAATTACTAAGTTTTCAATTCTTGGTTCTTGCTGTGCAAGACAGAACTAACACTAAGCTTACTTGGCTTTGTTTTTTTCCAAGTATGTCACAGTTGAAGGATCCTGAGGACTCTACCCATAAAACTTCATAATTTGTGGTGAATACATTGAATTTAGCAAGTTCATTCTTTAGACTTGCATGTAGAGTCACAAAACTAAGCTGTGAAACGCTCTAGTTGTCTTTTCAGGTTTAGATTTCCATAGGTATGATTATTAATGTTAAAAGTAAGGTTTATATGTAAAGCAGCAAAACAGCTATTTTCAGTGCTGCTGCTTAGGGCTCTCAAGTAAAGGAGGTATGATTAATTCTTAAACCAACAAGGCAAAGAAATCCCAGAGTTGAATAAAAGAGAACAGTTTCTTTTAATCCGTTTAAGATAAGGTTGCTGTTTCTCCTTCCAAGCATAGGAAAGAATTTGAATTCAAATGAATTTAGTGGAAATGTGTAGTTTCAGCTCCTATTTACATTTTCTAAGACCTAAAACAGTGGCCAAAACTTGAGCTTCCTTACTCAAGGGATTCAGGTCTTTCGATTTCATTAAATGTAAAGCCTCAGAAAGATTCTAACTATCTAGTTAGAAGGCTTGAGAGCTTTGGTAGGAAGAGGTGAGAAACTAAGTTAATGTGTAAAGATTGCATCAAGCCTGCTTCCTTGGGAAACATCCTGAAGAACTGCATGAGCAGAGGGGAAAAAAAACCAACCAACCAAACAACAAAACGACAAACACCTGTGTTTTCCTAGAAGTCCATTTCTGGTAATATGCTACAAATATGAGTTTCCTGACAAATACTTCTAGCTGTAGTTTTAAAATTATTTGTGTTTATATGGAGTCCTCTGTGGGGATAAATGAGCAAACAAGTAACAGATGAGAAGTGTTACTGCTGAAGCCCTCTGAGCTTTGTGTACAATTAGCTGCTAACTTTCACCTAAGTAGTCTTCCCTCTGCTTAACTTTAGCCTTCCGAAGGCACTTCGATGGATCTAGGGAGAGCTGGCAGGCTTTAACATCAGTTCTGTCTTTGGCCTTTCCTGTTGGTCAAAACCTTTTGCTATGAAATAGCTTTCTATTGGGTTACAGCCCGCTGTACTTCTGACTTGGGTGGTGCCTCTTAAACATACCTAAACGACCTAAAGCCTATATTCTTTGAGCAGCTATGGCACTTCAAAGACCACAGTTTTCTGCGGTCTTTTGAGTGCGTATCTTTCTTTTCACCTGTCTCCAGCTTAAACACAAATGCAACTTCACCTTTGCATCTGGGGCTTGTGCCGTGCAGAGGTACTGCTGCCTGCCTACTGTATGAAGGGACGGGCTTTCCAGGGGTTACCGGGAAAGCAGACCGCTTGCCTGTGGAAGGTGACGGACCTGCGGCTGCCGCGGGATTCCTTCAGCAAGGGAGCAGGTCCCGTCCCGGACGGAGCGCGGCTCATCTCTCGCTCCCTGCGGCTCGCAGCTCCTGACCTGTCCCACTTACGGCTTCTGCCTGACCCGAGCGCTTCGGGATTTATTTGTTTTCTGCTTGATTTACGACAACACCGCGGGAGTGTCGAAATGTTTTACGTAACACCCACAATAACTTTATGTAACTCGTTTGGATGGAAACATTTCGGTGCCCGCGTCTCCCCCCTCAACCCCCGGCACGGTTTTGTTGGGGCGGTACAATCCTCGTCCCTCGTCGGAACGGCCGCTGTCCGTTCAAACCTCTTCTTTACCGCCCTGCCTCATTAAGGACGCTCTACAAACGCCGCATCCCGAGCACACGCAGCTCCGTCCCGCTCCACTCCGTCCTCGCCCTCCCTCCCTCCCTCCCTCCCTCCCTCCCGGGCCGGCGGGAGCAGCTCCCACAGCTCCGGCGCCGCCGCCGCCGCCGCTGCCCTTGCGCTGTGAAGCAGCGCCCCCTGCCGGGCAGAGGGGGGCGGCGCCCGTGCCCGCGCTCGGCCAATCAGCGCCCGCCTCCCCCAGCCCAAAACGCTCCCCCCTGCGCGCGCTCGGCCCGCGGGTTCCCGCGCGCGCCAAGGTAGCGGCGCTGCCCGCGCGCTCCCTGAGGAGGGGCCCGGGGGCCTCGGGGAGTGGGGATGGATCGGCCCCTGGGGCGGACTGCGGGGTGTTGAGCCTTGCGGGGTGGGGGCGGCAGCACTTCCAGCCCAGTGAGGCTGTTAGCTTGCTTTCCCTTGTGTGTTCCTTTCCTAGCATAACCTGCCAGTTGTTTTTTTAAGATTCCTTCATACTCCCAAACTTCTCCAGGTGGCCTTATCGTCCTCAGAAGTGCTTGTTTATATACAAGCTGCCCTCGTCTTTGTTTTGTTCCGCCTGTATTTTTGTCTGTTCTCTGAGAAAATGATGGGCTTTTCTTTCTCTTTTTTTTCCTTACAAGTTCCTTTGCACGGAACAATGGATGATGAGGGGAAAAACTATGTTTCTACAGAAGTATCCGATGTGTTGGAATCAATTTCTTTTCTGAATGTTGAGGGTAAACCTTCACCCTTGGAGTCAACAGTATTGCCTAATATGGAGGAACAGCAGGTGTGGATTGGTTTTACAAGATGTCTTCTGGTGGTGCTGGTGTGTTTTTTTTTTTTTTGTTTGTCTGGGGTTTTGTTTTGGGGTTTTGTGTGGGTTTTTTGTTATTCTTTGTTTTTTTTTTTTTTAAAAAAAGCTTTAATTCTGACAAATACGTCTTTCACAAGAACTACTCTGCTCCTCCACCCCTAAGATGTGTTTGACTCTTCTGCTTATTTCTCATTGCTTACACACAGGTCATAGCCAGTATCAAATACACGTGGTCAGTGCTATGTCATGTACTAAGCTTTTGAAAAAAAAGTAAGGGACTTCAGTAATTACACTTTGAATGTAATGAGACTATGCTGTTCTTTTTAGTAAGATGACAAAGCATACGAACCTGTGTTTAAAACTTGTTAGGTGCTTGGAAATAAAATCTGTAATGCTGTGCTCTGCACTTGAGGAGAAGATAGTATAGCAATCTCTCCTTTTTGGAGTGGTAAGTTTCCTGGGTGACTCTTCCTCAGGTGATCTAATTTTGTATGATTAGTGGAGTGCTGGTCATGGGATGGCTGGAGTAAATCCATCTGCTGAATGAAAAGTTGCCGAAGTAAAGACTTTGAAGCTCTGTGAGAAAGGAAAGAATGCTAGAATCCCTCTGAAAAGCTCCCTGCTATTATTGCTTTACCTGTGTGGGGAGACCACTGTGTAACGATTGGGGGATGGAAAAGCCCTTCTTAGCAGCTGAGAACTGTTTCATGGCTGTTACTGTGAGGAAGATGAGTGGCTGGTGCCTGGATGATGGATGGTAAGGAAGTGGTCTCTTGAGGCTAAGAATGTGTCAATCTATTAATTGAACGTGCTCCATACAAAATGGAAGTGCAGTACTGTTTAGCAGGTGTTAGAAAACACAGCTTGAATTCAATACAGAGGGAGACCAGAAGGTGGAAGCAGTGCAGTTTATGCCTGGGATAGTGTGCTCTTTTAAAATCAAAGTACTAGCTTTACCATGAAAGAATGCTAAGAAGGGGTAGCACACAAAAAAGGTGTTACTTAAGGACAGTAAAAGATAAAGAAGCAAATGGAAGGTTAGAGTCTGAACTTCACAAGGAAGGAAAAAGTGAGGCATTAGGATGAAATAGGAAATACTACATCAGATATGTATGCTGATATGAGTGATTTGGGGCTGTTCTGCTTAAAAAGTGGCAATTGTAACTGTTTTGTGCCATTTTTTTTTATTGAATAGGTATACCAACCTCTGAAAGTCTTCTTGAGAGTGAGGCCCTTTTCTATAGCAGAGCTTGAAAGCCATGAATCTCAGGTTAGTAGAATTAAGAAATAAGTTTTTCTTCTCTCCCAAAGAACATGCAATATTGTAGGGTGGAA